AAGAAGTGTCAACCGCCCTCATAACTCTATCAGCATACGAGATCCCTCAGATGAATATATGGGGACCAAGAAATTCGCCATACAAAGTAATATGAGCATATATAGAAGATATCAAAATGATATAGGAAGCACACAAGAAAAAGATGTGAAAACGAGAATCGGTATTTAGGGTGGCAGTCTCAAGTACGCATTTTAAGAAACATTCACGACTTCCACTAAACTTTTAGATACCGGGAAAAGTAAGAAAGCTGCAACACTATTGCCACTGATTCTGATTCTAAGCGATGACCGATAACGTCTCAAGTAAGAGTGGTGGAAGCTTCCAAAATCTATCCATGGAGTTGTGAGCCAGCAACGAACACCAGTCCACCCCCAACTACCCTTTACCCCTACGGCATCAAGTCGTATAGACTTCCGCGACGTCATCCAAAGTAGTTAATGCGGGAAGACTTATTCTAGCTGGCTCTGACCACAATCAAGAACGAAAGAAAACTAAGGGTAAGTTGAACGAGTTTTCATAATGATTGCGAGCAATGGTGGGTAACAAAAACATTCAGGGATGAAGGTCGTAAACTACTGAGTAAAGCAATGAAGGTAACTAGGTAGTGTATAGCAATCAGGGGAAGTCCCATCATAATGGTATACTTCACTGATTATTACAGTCCATAACAACGGAGAGAAGTCTTCTAGTGACAGTCATAGAAGACCAGTTTGAACAATATTGTGTCCACGATCTTCGGGTCCAATGGAGCTCGAGAACGGCCAACTCGAAAAAACTAGGGAGGTTTCAGACCAGGACGAGGGTGTATCGATCATATTTTCACCCTACGACAGGTTTTGGAATGCAGACATACTTACCGGCGGCCGGCATTTGCCATATTCCTTGACCTGAAGGCGGCACTCAACTTTGTTGACCGTGAGGTGTTGTAACAGTGAGTGACTGTGCAAGGAGTACCAACCAAGCACATAGTGCTAATGAAGGTTGCCTACTGAAACTCAAGCAGCCGTCTTAGGGTTTATGGATAGTCGTCATCTGAAGTGACAACATCTAGCTGTGTCCACCAGATATGCCCATTGTCATCTTTCTTGTTCAATTTCGTTACAGATGTATTAATGGATATAAACTAAGGTATATCTGACTTCACATAGACTGGCCGACTCCCTGAAGGTCACCTGGTTGACTTGGAGTATGCAGACGATATTGTCCTGTTAAGTGAAGACCCTGACAAGGTGCAGGTCCTTTTAAGACTTTCACCTATCAAATGTGAGATGATCCTCCATGACTGGTCTACAACCACTTTCAATCTAATGATAGGGAGTGAAGTGGTGGAATGAGTTGACCACTTCACTTACTTAGGGAGTTGCGTCAGCCCACCGAACCAGGTAGTTGTTGACGAAATCTCAGCTCTGATACAAAAAGCCCGTTTGGCATTCGCCAACTTGCGTCATCTGTAGCACCGACTGTCGAGACATCTGACTATATATCAAAAAACGAGTGTACGGCTCTGCAGTCTGTTCTGTACCGTCATACGGCTGTGAGACATGGTCGCTAAAAGTAGAAGACGGGAGGCGGTTGCAGGTTTGCGACCGTAGGTTTCTTTGTACCATTGCTCACGTCTGGTGAAGCCATTATGTTAGCAATGCCGAGGTTAGGTGAAGGATACTAGACGAGGAAGGGAAGGTGGTCGATGAGGCTGTGAACCCTCAGTCACTGAGATAGCTTGGACATGTGCCACGCATGTCAAGCCACAACATATCTTGACTTGGAGTGCTAGCAGAAATTGGATTACATTGGAAGGGGGCTCATGATGGCCAGCCCTAGACGTGGCACCAGTCCATGAAGTCTCTAATCCCTTGGTCTTAGATGTGTGGGGAGGTGTAATCCCCCTGGCTAGAGCCCTCAAGACGACAGAAATCAATAGGCGAAAATCGGTCACCATGCGGCAGATGTTTCCACGTTTTGACACCTTAGCTTAAACATTTCACCAATCTTCAGTTCTAAACTCTTTCTCCTCCCATACACCTTTGTCTACGTTGATATAAGTGTTTTTCTATCTAATTATCTGTTTGTCTGACAAACTTATCAAATCTCCGTTTCTTCCTATCGTAACCCATTGTTGAAAACGAGTGGATGGAATGAAAAACCGCTGAGAGGAGATTCGTATTACATATAACAAGCCAACGAAACCGGTGTTTCAAAAAGACTTTATTCAAGGAATAATGATCTCTGATACTAGCAAACATCTACGTTTAAGCTTCAGAACTGTTTCCACTGCGTAGTAGCAATCCTACGGAGAAAAAGGTGATAGAACACAGAGTTGTCAAACATCCTTCACTAGGAAAGACCAGGTTTCACATGAGTATATCAGTACTACACGCACCGGTTCGTCGTATACCAGACTATTTACAGTCATGCTAACATAATGGCAGCGACAAAAGTAACCTAGGCCGGCGTATGCTGTCATGTTTTAGATACACGGTTACAAATTTCATCACTCATACCTCCCTCAGTAATTCCTTAACTACACAGGTAAACAAACTTCAGGACTACTTCCGGCGACCCAGTAAGATGTTTTTTAAAAACAATATATGGATAAACAGATCATCATACAAGCCTAAACAGGAGTGGATCACTGTAATTTGCTAAACTCAGAAACAGAACAGAAAAAAGACACAAATAGAATGACAACAAAATAAGCAATAAGTATGTTAGCAGCAATAGTAAATACATAAACGTTACATGTCCAGTTTCGAGGGTGATGGTAAGCAATAAGTACATGTGTCACTATGATTATTTTTGGGGTAGGTTTATAGTTTTAGACATCTTAAAGACTGCAGCTTAACAGTCAGTGCAATGTCTTGATCCGGTTACTGATTTTTCCCAACCCTAACCTTAGCAAACACTACGCATCGACGAATACGGTAGGTTAGCATGTATGATATATCCAAGCTAATCCACTTGGCACACCACTTTCACCAAGCAGTTTACATTTAAACATGGATATTGCTTACCCTCTGGTTCCAAACTGAGCATTTTTATTGAGTTCTTCATTTTGTATACAATTAACTATGTCAATGCATTGAGCAATTAATTACTGAAGGCCACATAGTGTGTTTTGACAATAGTTCAGTTCGAGATTTGGATGCATATACTAAGGGTTGATTATAAATGAAAAGCACTCAAAAGTAACAAAATGTATAACATATAAAGTATGTGTTAATTAACCGCTAACGGGTGTTCAGAAAAGAGTGTAAATTTTGGTGTGATAAGTCGTCCTAACGCTCATGTACTTGGAAGTGTGAAAATATCAATAGTTTAGGGAGATTAGCTTAAAGCGATTGTAATGACCAGAATTGGAATTTCTCGTATAAAATTAAAACTGAAAAGTTGGGATAGTTACTAGATGTAGCTTAGATAAGATAACAGCGTGAACATGCAGTGAATAACTTCTTACCAAAAATTTCTAAAACGCACGTGGAGCGGAAACAATAGATAAACACAAATCTCAGCTTTGCAGCCATGTGTTAAATTCTATATATGTTCTATATTGAATGCACATTTGAGTAAGGATTTTTTACGAGCAGTAGTCAGTCGCACGATTTAGTTTCATGAAAGATTTTCTAACAATTGTTGCATATCTGCACATAACTCTAGTCTGTTGGACTGTCATACCATTACTGGTATCTATTCAGCCTAAGGTACTTTAATTCCCATCACTTCAATCTCAGAATTTCGCAAACTTTAGGCGTCTGATAAAGCACTGTACTCTGAATTCGGAGTTATTAATATTGGCCAAAACTATATAACCTGTTGATTAAGTGTGAAAATGAACGAAATACACTCAGCAACCCCACACACATTCGTGCAGTAGACAATGATACTACCTAGCTGTCTAAACCTTGGTAGGCGGAGCGGGGCTCGAACCCGTGACCCGTCGGTTGGATGTCGTCTCCCTAAATCAATGTATGACAAAGTGTGACTGGTCAACAGCCATGCGGAAATTCTCATCAACCCACTTAGAATAAAAACATCATAAAGACCGTTTTAAACAATCACGTGAAGTGACGTGGATAATCGCCCACATCTTTGATGATAACCGCAATATCGGTGAAGCCTTTTGAAGTTGCAGTGGTGATAATTATACTGAAATTATTAAGATGAGAAAAAGGACTATAAGTTAGTAATAGTTTAATCCAACGCAGATCGACAGTGTGTTTAACATATGAATAGGAGAATAAAGTGAGATCTCAGTTCCCATGTAATATTTCGAAGTGTATTATTATATAACGGTAAAAACAAAACAGTATGTAGGTGGGTCTTAGGAATTTTACTGAAAATTCTTTGAATTCGAAACTGCTGCGAACATGATGCTACGAATTCCTCTGGTAAATCTCATCTTCATAGACAGGCTTCCCCAAAGATCAACCGATGAATAATAAGGGATGCACTCTATCATCTCTTCTACTGACAGAAAAAAGCAAATTTTAGAAAAAGTTACAAAAGGTTCTGTCGGGAAGTAATCCCCTTAGTCGAAATCGTGATGGATGGATCTCATATATTTTCAGAAGGGACTGTCTGAACTAATTTAAACAGGCAACTCCAATAAATTTTATGATAATGAGGGATAGTGGCTAGCATTGGAATCCAGTGCGCGCGTTTCATTCTATTATGGACTCGTCAGCTGGATGCACCTACTTTCCAGTGACTCCGATAAATGTTACAGAATAAAATACTTTTTAAGTGATTTTCTCTCTCGTTGTTTTACTTAACGTCGGACAAATATCTAACGAAGTAGTGTAACAAGGTGATATCGTGTATTTTCTTTATAATGACGAATTACTTTGTAAACTGTAACCTCAGGGGGGGGGACTGAGCTACAGCATTGGAAACCTAATACTCAATAGCCAAAAATTTTTTAGCTGTTTATCTAACATAGATAATAACAACATAAAAATTATCACACCAGGTAGTAAAAACCTACAACCCGTTTGATGCTTACCAATGACATATGAGGCTGCACCACCATTAAGACGCATGTTTCGAACAGGAATTCCAGCTGCTTTGAGATTTCCTCGGACTGCTCTAAATAAGTCATTCAGTTTGACCATAATAGTCGGGAATCCTGGATTTCTGCTATGGATTGGAATGGTTTTCGATAAAACATAGTGTAATCTAGTCACTTGCTCATAGGATAATATTTGAAACCGATTCCCGTTTGAAAATTTGGGTTTACTTGCTTTAGGACTTGCTAAAGGGCAGTAACTGTCCTCAACTGCCACCGCACAAGTACCCGGAGGAGAAAGCCTGGCAGATTCTATGTATTTACCACCACAGCCAAAATGATTATAAGCACCCACTTTCAATGGATTTCGACGCATCTGCACCTGACTAGTGACACGCCCAACTTCAAAACCAACAGACGACTGAGCATCATCTGAATCAGTGTCCTCAGGAAAAGGAGAAGACGGGCTCAAATTCAACGTCCTTTCAATGCCAGAATCATCAGAGGGACATGCACTGGACGCAGGTGACCGACTAAGTTGTGTCGAAGTTATCAGCTCGGGAAGTTGTAAATGAAATATTTGCGAGAGCGAATTAGAGTTACTATGCTTGAGTTTGTGAGGATTATACAGGAATGGATTATGTAAACTTCCAACCTGCGTCATTGTATTAGTCCGAGAATGAGACTTCAAGTATTCCAGAATGTATTAAATGCAACAGATATCCATCACCAATCCCAGAAAATTCGACAAGTACGCGGCTGGAATTGACAGCTGTAGTATAATTAATAGGTGTCCCAGTATGCCAGTACACGAGAATGCTAACGATGAGAAAACTTATTTAATGCGTATAAGTAATCTAGAGAAAATTGCTTGGGTTGAAGTTAGTGATCCAATCATGCTTTCAGGGACAAAATGTATTCCAGAGATTATTTACTTAGACATATTTAAACCGCAAATCGGCTATTAGTTGACCTGCTAATGAGTCCTATTGACCAATCCTTACTTTTGCTTTGAACGTAGTTCATTTAAAGTCACATGTGAGGCAAATAAAAATTCTGATTGGTTAATTTACTATATCGACTGGACATGTAACATGCCTACCTAAACCTTTAAGGACACAACTAAGAAGGACATTGGAAGCTTAGTACGACAGACATGCACGTTACGTTGTTTTACTATTTCAGACCAACAAACTCATATCTCGCCTCCGCATTTACTTGGTATGTATGTGGGTGTTGGACATCACATTACATGCATTGGAAAACATAAAAAGGGAGTTTTGAGACTTCGTCCGTAAACCTGAGTTTCACGGCAAATTTGAACCGTTAAATACTTATTCCAGTACATTCGTTACAAAAATAGCATATTTATTGACTTGGTTCATTGAGTAATATCAAGTGACCAATACATGCATTATGAAAATAAATCACCAAGTAAGAAATGAAGAGAAGCAGTTTAGAGCAGGAATAGTTTTCTGAGTGATAAATGTTATGACGGACCGATCGAAAGTAGATGCAAAATTTCGTTCTTTACTTTATTTTCAATTATTGCAGTTATTTTTGAAAACAATTAGCTCAGAAGTCATTTAATAGTACTATCTTGTAACCAGTTTTACAAACTTTCTGAAGATCCGTTAATTATTTTTTCAGTCATTTTCATTGAGAAATGATCGTTAGATAGCAACAAATTATGACCATCGTTCCGGAGCCTAAATGGCTTTTTGTATATTTCAGAGTTTTAAAAATTCCCGTCATGTAAATTAGAACAAAACATATAAGCGAACAATATTGTTTTCAATTAGATCCTCTTCAGGCTTAACTCTAATACAAATAGCTTAATATATATAAAAAATTAAACCTATCATGTAGATTTGTCGGTTGATGTGATAAATGTTTCATATAACGGTGGAGATAACAATACAAATATTTGTCAGGCTGTCAGTATCTCATACTGTATTCAGTACAGTCAGTTGCTGATCACAAGCATGGGAAAAGCACAAGAAAGTGCAACTATATGCTCCGCGTTGTTGGAAAAAAACTGTCAGCAGACCTAATGGTGTACCTCTAAACTTCCTAATTGGAACTGTTGAGAACAAAAATCTTCACTCAAAGCTCTCTGCCTCTCTGTCCTCTGGCAAGACCAGGAGCCAGTATATATGACTTTATACACATACAACTAAATTCAAAATTTTTGCAACAACGCATTTTGCTTGTATTCTATGTGAAGAAGAAGGTGTTAGAAATGAACTAATCAATCAAGTTTTGTTTTTTAAGATAAACAAATTGAAGATTAGACAGCTTGCTACTATTTATGTGTTAAGATGCCAATTGCTAATGTAACTGTCAGCCTAAGTTATCTCTGCACTTTCAAGGAAGTTTTAGACGGAGTAAATATTCTTATCTTTTATATGTATACGTATTCATTGTTTCTGTCCAACTGATACTATGTGATATGATGAGAAATCCATACAGTATTCCGAAATATCTTTCAGAATAAAGCCATTATTATTATTATTGTTAGACGGCGAGGAGTCTAGAAAGCTATAATCATTTAACAGTCTTAAAGCTATAGAAATGACGATGACAGCCATATAAAATGAGCCAATCAGCTCATTACATTTATAACAATTCTCAAAAGATACTTCGGTGATGTACTTAACAATTGTCGCACAACAACACTAGCTATTCTACACCAAATATTGCCTGATTTCTGTGCTTTGATTTGTTTTGTATGTTTTTATGTGGCCAGTAAGGAAATAACTCAATCTGCTGAGTTCCGAAATTTCAGAGTTTGCTAGCCGACATCATTTTTTCTTCAACTTTATTGTATTCGCAAAAAATACTGAGAAAAGTAAATACAATTTTTGCGGCAGACAGAATGCAGAAGACTTGTTGGGCTATGGTACTAATATATTAGAAGAAAAAGAAAAAAATAATTAGTTACACTAACTCACTTCAGAGGTTTGTGGGAACTGATTTCAAAGTAACTTTCATCATGACCTGACATAAGTTGGATAATTACTGAACACCTCTATATCTGTTTTGTCCTAGTATGGGCCGCCTCACCGGTGCCCAGTCACGACCCCATCAGGGATCTAACCCAAAACCTACAGGTTTCGCGACGATCACATTACCATTGAGCCAATAAGTCATGTTCTAGCTGGTGAAATATAAAAGTCAATGGCAAATTAGCAGGAGTGATTCTGAAGGTCACCTTAGAGGCCACTAGAATAGCCAATTAGGTTACTTTATTTCGGCTAGATCGGTAGTTCTTTATAAAATACTGGAACCTGATTGGTTATCTTCTTAGTTGCTAGAGTGGGGTTTAAAGTCTCTTATCAGTGATGATTTTTTAGTTTAGAAGTAGTATTCATCATGGGCTGACATCATTTGGGGAACCATTGAAAATCTGAGAGCACTGGACATCTGTTTTGTCCTAGTATGGGACTCTTCAGCAGTGCGCACTCAAGACCCGGCTACTGGTCGAACTCAGGACCTTCAGGTTTCAGGACGAACGCTTTAAGCCTTCAGCCACTGGGTCGATTTCCAGTGGTTCTAGTGGTTCCCATACCAGGACGAAACAGCTGTCCAGCGCTCCCAGATTTTCAATGGTTCCCCAACTGACGTCAGTCCATGATGAATACTACTTCTAAATTAAAAAAATATCCTCATTCATCTCAAAATACATTAATGATTTTTTAGTCATGAATTAAGTGAAATATACTTTGCGTAGACTGTAACCATTGAGTGGTCAAATAATGATAAATACTCTTTTTTTCTTTTGCGGATAGAAGTCTATTAAACAAAGCAGACAGATAAACCAATTACTTTTTCCTCAGCTAAGTATTTAGTAGTGACCAGCTGAGTAATTCAAAACGCATGTACCTGAGACTCAGTGAACGTTGTTATCCCAAATGAGACGTAAAACTAGCATCCACCACTTCATTAACCAGAACACTAACCACTTATTAGTTCAGTAACTCTGACGGAGTTCTCATTACAGACCATATCAAGTCACTGAAGCAAGTAAACCAGACGTCTAAAAAATTAATCACTTTTGTCGTTTTAATCTGACTGTCGATAACAATGAACTTTGTTTCTGGACACGTCAGAACTAAAATGTAAACTAAAGTTATCGAAAATACAAAGAACATAGTCAAGAGGAAGAAGGGGAGTAAATAAGCGTAAGAATAAATAATTTATCTCTTCAGTATTCAGATCCGTTAACATGGAGGCAAACGGTTATAAAATCTTCAGAAAGTGTAATCGTCGTCTCACTTAACTGGTTAGGATGCCTTAGGGACAGAATAATTCGCTCTTCGAGCGTACACACTACACTAAATGGCGACATCAGGCTTCAAAATCTTCAGGAATATACGATTAAACGACTTCTTTTCAGTGGGAAAGTTTTTATCGACTGTCTGAATGGGAAAAGATTGTGATACGTCCCGCACAGAATAAATGCAAAAACCAGGACGTCAGACTTCTGCATAATTTGACTGCTGTGTATTTATAAATGAGGGGTGTTATCCCATAAAAAGATCCAAGGAGCTTGATTTTTTATATAAAAGTCAACAGAACCAATCGGAAGGCTAAATATAGCCTAGTCTATTTACGCACTAAGTTTCTTACTCGTTAGGTGTACTTTTTATAAAAGATGCAACGTGTTCGATCTAATTTCAAGTCATAGTGTTGAACAAATATACTTCTAGGAAGGTTGATTTAATTGGACTGCGCTTTCCTTAAAAAATGCCTTCACTGTAATTTGAAGTAGTTGAAGCTACTATGACACTACTATATATGCAATATATTTATCAACCGTCAGGCAGTCCGAATCACTGAGTGGTAGGGTGGCTGAGTAAAACACTGGGTGACACGGATTTGAATCTCACAGGGGACATCAGTGCCCCCGGAGGTTTCAGATACACCTTGGTGACAAGTGCCAACAAGCGTGAAACCTAGGTAGGGGAGTGCAGAGCTTCCTATCTCTAACCAACTAACGTCCATCAGGTGGCTCATTGAGTCCAGTCAATGAACACCGGTTGAAATAAGCTATAAAAAGTGCGACTTCACCAAAAGGCAGAAAGATAATCGGTTTAGACAGTTACTAAGCTTCAAAAATAATTGTTCCAACTTTCGATACAGCAGTTTGACTTACATTAATGAATATAACTTCGACGTTTCCCGTTGATTATAACAATGACATGTATGTAACAGTCACTGACTATACTGAAAGAAGAGATGTTAGCATCCCTTTTTCCAGTTCTGCAACTTACTAATAAATTGTACGTCCATGGGTATATACACAATAAGACCTTCACAAAATCACTTGTAAGTACTCAGTACAGCCATTCCAGTCAGAAAATAACTGTCACCACTGAACGGTGAGAAATAGGATTAATAAATAAGCAGTCGAAAGAACGTTGGTTTCTAAGCATAATAATGAAACAATATTGTAAAGTTAATCCTGTCTTCATGAAGCTTCTCTGTTGTGCTATACCGAACTTGTTCATTTCCGCTATCTTCAATCTCCTTCACGTCTCTTCCCAAAAGAAACACGTTGTCAGTTGGATTGTATGTCTTTGAACAGGAACAAGTGATTATGCAACATAGTGTCTTTAGGTGTTATCAGGCCAGGAGGAAATCATATTACAACTTTCTTTTACCTTCTTTTAGTGAAGAACGATGCAAGCATAATAATGTTTTAGTGTATACATAGTACAGGTTCGTTTGTTTTATCATACTGCTATTACTTATGTCTCTGTTCCATTTTGTTGTGAATTTATTGTTGTGTTAGGCATCCGAGGATGACATGGAGGAGATCGTGTGAGGAAGAAATGAAAGCTTGTGGGTAGTCATGGAGCCAGGTTCAAAAGACTGTAGAGAACAGAGTGAAATGGAGACGTGCTACTGAAGCCCTACGTTCCACTGGTAACCCAAGTGACAAATAATAGTGATAATAATAATAATAATAATAATTGTTGTGTTACCTGACAGCAT